GCCAATCCTTGAAAATGATTGATTGCACCAATCATGTTTTGATAAATCAAAAACACACTACTTTGTTGATTCATCTAGCAATTATTCCTAGTAAAGATAGTTCACTTTATCATTTAACGATAGCAAATAAAATGATTAATAAGAATCAAAAGAAAATATTCCATATAGTTTCATCAAGCATATTTCAGTTATTAGTTTTCTTTTCATTATCTAAGAGGCTGCTCGCAGTTGAGTTTATCTATTTGATGGATTCAAATTATCGACAAAACTGATACCTACAATCAAATTCACAGATTATTTTGGCATCTACCTCAGAAGAAATAATATTGTTGATTCATTGATGATGAAACACTCGATTATGTTAAAAAAGCGACTGCATTCGAGTAGTAATATCAAGAAAATAAAATATTTTAATTATATCATTGCTTCTTATGTATGATATTATTAGAATGTAGATATTCGATTGCTCATAATTACTAGGCAAGTTATGATAAGCATTTCAGTAATATGAATATCAATCATAAAATATAAACAGTATACTTCTACTCCTTGCTAAATGAGTTCCATCCGTTATTATGTAAATCACTTCGTACAAGTAAGTTGAGTCTGTTACAGAAATGTAAAATGTAAAATAACAAAAACCAATCACATAGAAAACGTTTCATACAGTTATCATACTTGATAGTGTTATTGACTCCATAAAAAAAACTACGTATATGCATTACATCATAGCAGTTTGGAGTTGCTCATGAAAAAAGTCATAGTTCATCGAACAACGAATCATTGAAGAATAACCATTTGCAGTAAAGAATTGAATTCACTGTAAAATGTACGCATCGACACCCATTCCACTGAAAGTTGGATTATCAACAGAAAATCTAATCATATTTATTTTCGCATATACATATTTTAGCTAATTCAAAGCTGATTGTGCAGTATATATGTTGCTCGATGTGTAGTCTGATGGAATTAAGCAAAATTTTATTTTATTTACTAGTAAATATATTTACTTTACTGATTTACTTTTTCAAAAAGTAAAGTAAATGTGCCACCCCTACGCGAAACGCGTCGGCAAAATAAAATTCTGCATTTTTGTTTTAAATTCAAACACAAATATCTTAATTATTCGACTTTGATCGATTGCTGAAAAGCAAGCGTTGAGAATTGCAGATTGATTTGTCTTCTTAGTTAAGAGATAGATTGATCTGTTTTCTAATTGATTTACACACCCACACCCCTCACAATGAACGAAGGTAGCTACACTTCCATCTAACATTGGCATCTTCTTGAAGTCCAGAAAACACTGCCACTGCCGGGAACATATTAAAACAAACGGTTAGACTAGATTCTTTACACAAAAAGGCTTTTATAAATGATCAATAGAGCTCCAATTTTAAGAAAAGAGTGAATTGTATGTCTATCCCCTAGATTTATTAGACAGAAGTATTAACAATTACAATTCATTAATTATTGTTTTAAGAACAAAGCTCGATTTATAGTCGAATCAACATATTATTCTTGTTACTCAATTTTAATATTATGCATGTCTGTAGTTAAAATCAAATGTTACACTGTAAAATGGTTTAGGGAGAAGAAGAATATCAGTATAATGAAGAACAATAGCCACCTTGGGTACAGCCAGTCGACCGTTGCTGTTTACTGAAACTGCACGCAGTTCATATCTGAGTAATTCGTTCACGCCCATATCAACAAACAGATTTTTATAATTGCCATTTGACAAATTGGGAATTTGAATAAACTGTGCACCATCAGCTTCCTGTGCCACATTGAAGATACCAATGAGGCCTTCACGAGTTGATTTAACTTCCCATACGGCAACAATACATGGACTATGATGGGTCAATGTTAATCTAAGAAAAGAGACAGAATAACGTCTAAATTCCATTGATATTTCGTTTCCCTAACCTGGCTTCTTTCGTTTCAATTACTGGATGTTTCTTGATCTGTATAAGTCTAAGTATAAATTCTTCCAGCGGACGTACTCCTTTATTGTCAACCCAATCCTTTTCGAACAATGATGAAATTGTCTTTTGCTCCATTTCTTGGCCGTCGTGTACCAAAAAACATCCTTTATTGAATGCACTAAAGGCTACAAAAAATATCGGTATTTTACGTAATTATGAAGACAAACGAAGGTTGATGAAAGAGTTCAAATATTTCCTTCTGGAAAGAATAGACTCAGAGATTTTTTTTCCAATGTACAAAAGATTTCTACAAACATCCTTAGCGAATGAATAAAATCAGATGTTGCGTTCCAGATGAAAATAACTCCTCATACACTATCAACAGTCTTTAGTGACGTATTCAATATATCAAATGACCTGTCCATGCCAATCCTTTCCATCGATTGTCTCGACAGATGTACGCAATTCGATCTTGATCGTGATTTTCAACAAATCTCAATTTGATAAAGTTCTTCGGATAGATGAATGTTTGAAGACGAAGAAGTTCAAGGTAGGATTTGATCGAAGCGGCACCTTGTACCGCACCACGCCACGCCACATAAAGATCATAGTCATAGCAGAGATCGAATGCTTCATAGAGTTCTGCATCCGTATGAATTATTGTATCTTGATCACGCTGACTCTTCATGTCACTGAACCAACATGATTCAGCCAACCAGATACAACGAGGATACACTTCGGTCACGGAACGTCTTGCTTGACGCCTGAATAATAAAACAAGTATTCATAACAAGAAGTTTTAAATATGTTCTTTACCAGAATTCTATAGGAACGCAAGAAGCAACATCCAAGCGAAATCCATCGACACCGTGTTCACACCAAAACTTTAATATATCAATCAGTTCAGACCATAGTGTTGTTTCATTTCCTTCGAATTTTAAATCCACAATGTCCCTCCATTGGGGTACTCGAGAAATAGGTTTGCCCTATAAAGAAAACATCATGGTATTCAGAGAGATATATCAATGAAACTCAGACCGTTGTATCTCTCCAATACCATTCTGGATATTCTTTTATCCATGAACAGTCATGACTAGTGTGTCGAAAGACAATATCAATCATGACTCTCATGCCTAGTCGATGAAGTTCTGAGACTAAATGATCGAAGTCATCCATCGTACCATACTCCGGATTGATAGCACGAAAATCATTGATCGAATACGGTGAACCAAGTGAACCTTTACGATTCGTGATACCAATCGGATGAATGGGTAAAAACCATACAAAATCAATGCCCATACGGGTGATTCTAAGCAAAAGAAAAATGTTCCGGTAGAGAACAATACAAACAGAGATTCAAACAAACCGTGGTAGATCATTGATGACGCCTTGAAACGTGCCACTTTTAGAATGATTTCGCACATAGATACAGTAGAAAACCAGGATTTTTAATGTCTTCATTGGCCATGACTATGGTGTGTAGGTCTGTTTGTTGTTCGACTGCAAAACAGTGAAAATGGGGCGTGTAGTAATGAAGAGATTGCTTCACACATTCAAGATTATTTCCGTCTACTTCAAAGTTAGCTCATTTGAGGGGATGTGGCTCATCAGTTGACCCCCATTATTATCCTCTTTTCATAAAAACAGTTATATATTCTGATAAGTCTTGATATTTTTATAGTTTTAATTTTTCTGAAATTACGATCCATGTTTAGATATTTTAGAGTAAATAGAGATTCTGATAGAGCTTGAAAGTCTCTATCATCCTAGTTATATATTTTTTTCTTCCCTAGCATCCATGTACCGAAGCACACTCAAGTATTGTACGGGTGACTTCATTGACGTATCCAAAAAAGTAACAATTTACTTTGTATTTCCTGAGTTAATAATCTTTTGAGAGAACTCGCATATATTTTGAAGAAAATACTTAGTGTAACTTTAAATTGAGGTATTGCAGCTCTTTCCCCCTTCCCTAACAGGCTGCAGCAATCATAGTCTAAGGTCATTTGATATGTTTTCTCTAACAATGAGAGAAGAGGATATAGGTCAAGGAGCATATTCCCCTCGAAACTGCATGAAAGTAAAGATCAATAGGCATGCTGCCCTAGCAAAACAAACAGTAGACACAAGATAGCTTCCCCATAATTCCTAACCAACGGAAAGGCGCTAAACGACTACAAAACTGCTTAGACTATTACGGAGCATTGTAGAAGATTCCCACGGCTTTTCTTGATTTCTAAATAGTCATAATAGGTTTTTGACCTTTGAGCAGTTAAACAATTATATAACACATATCAATGATAAGAGTTAGCGGTGTGCCGATTTGACTAATGAGGGAACATTCTCAGATGTTGGTTCGTTTTTTAGCAAGGATTGTGTGCATCGTGTAGACCCTGATAAGCTATGAATGTCAATAAAAACGATTTCGTGCTTATACCTTGTTCCTAAAGATATATCGAGTTTTTAGTGCATTTTCCCTTCGGAACTCTATTTTTGCAGCAAAACCGTGTCTTTAAATTTTCACTCAAAATCTTGTGTACATAGCGATCTCAAGTAGACTAACATTCCTAAAAAATTTCCGAAGTTCCGATGAAGGTCCTTTCGAGATATAAATCTTTGAAAAATGCGTATTGCATACACTATCTGTGAGAAAGGGAATATTTTTCTACAATTCCATATCTCGAAGCAGCTTTCTTCAAAATGTCGAAAATTTTCATGAAAGTTAGTCTAGTTAAAATCCTATATTTGCAGACTTTCAGATCAAAACTCAAACAAGATTCTGCTGCAAGAGTGACTTTTCGAAAGGGAAATTCACTAAAAACTCAATATTTCTCTAGAAACGAGCTGTAAGCACGAACTGTTTTTATGATATTCATATTCATTAGAGCCTATATGATGCGCATAATCTTGGCTCAAAAGAATATCAACACATGAGAATGTTCTCTTGCAAGATAAAAAATAAACTATTCGATCACTTTTAATATGGAACCTAAACTCAAACTCATGAGATCAAGCTCATCAAACACAAATGGTTTGAGTTCGGTACATATCCACCTTCAAACAAACAAAAACAGCAGAAGGTCTCGTAAGAATAAGTTTCTATATATATAGTGTTCAGTGTGTGCATTTGTGCCGACTTAAAGATCAAATATCAATGGGAATGAGGTGTTGGGTTGACTTTTGACTTTACAACAGGCGCACACTGCTATATTCATTTGCACGGGTCTCTCGCTAGTTTATATTACTGTACTACGAATTCAATACGCATCAACATTTTTCTAAGATCAAACAAAAAACCTACTATTTATTTTCCGTTTTGATTTGTCTGCACCAGATTATTTAGAATATGTGTAACAAAAATATGAATGTCTTGCAGTTATCTTCATTTAAAATAAAATGACGATAATCGAAATATTTTTTATAAATGATCCAACGTCTTCAAGTAAACGTGCACGAGTATCCATATTTACTTATTGTGTTATCTTAAGCTATATGTTTAATACTACTAAAACTTTAAAAAAGAAAAAAAACTCAGTCCGTCTTGCTATCTTTTACCTTAACACAACTAGATTGATCCAGAATGGGAACCAACTCTTACGGTTGTCTCATAACTCCAAAACATTTCGTTTATCCTTATTTACGTCATGAACCAAATCAGAAATTTCTTTTAATAACTCTAAAATTATTCTATGTGCGAGACGTTTGCTTATAGAAATATATCAAACAATTTTTATTCTCTTGAGTAAACCAGAAACCAAATACTAGAAAGCATTACATTTATATAGAGGGTGTGGGTGTGGATATGCCTCATTATTTATGCCTTGATTTTATCAAAACCCATACCCACACCCACACCCACACTCTTGCAAGTTGATGCCAGTTTCTTCCTAGATTATCCTGCATGAGTTTACGCCATCGGTTTGCTGGTCGTCCTCTCGGTCGCTGGAAGTTGTATGGCCACCAAAAGGTCGTGCGGCTTGCCCATCTGTTGGCTTCACGTCTTGCCACATGCCCCGCCCATCGGAACTTTCGTTGAAGAGCATCAATGTAAGCGTCTTTGAACTTGGTTCGTTGGCGAATGATATTATTCGGGATTTTCTGAACCAGTTTGATGCCGAGCACTCGTCGTTCTATAGCTCTTTGGGTTGTTTGGAGCTTTTGCTTATCGCTCTCCCGCATAGTCCACACCTCGCAGCCATAGTTCAGTACCGGTAGAATAGTGGAGTTGAATAAATGCGCTCTTAGTGTGGTG